TGAATGATTAATTTGTTATGGGTGTCTAGTTTAACCAAAGATGGATTTGAACAGAAAAAGCCCTTGTATACTCGCTCTTTCATAAAGCTGCTTTACTGTAGGTGGAACCTCCTTCATCAAATCACGGAATGCAGGAGAACCAAGTCTCATTTTTAAATGTCATTTGTCTCATTATAGTAATATTCCTGTATATATAAAAACTGATCATGTGAAAATATCTATGACAAGTATTTCATATTTAGACTTAGAACACAAACTGGAACTCAGAACTCTTTGTACTGTCCTAGATTGCCTTAAAGTTATAGAAACTCTAAGGTACAGCCATATATATAGTAATCTTGAATAAAATTTTTGAAAAGTTAAAATATCTGATTAAACCAAGAAGCTGAAATAACAGAATACTCCAAACAAACACAGTAACAGATTATGGCCCAAAACACAGGCATGCATCTGGTTGATAAGGAATTTGAACAGTGTGTACAGACAGGTTTCACTAAACTTTTTTTTTTTTTTTTTTAAGAAGGATGTGTAAGGGGAGAGAAGCAGATGGGGAGGAAGAGAAGCACCATATGAAGCTGACAGAGAAGACAGAAGGAAGCATATGTTGTGACATGAAGACTATAACCCTGAAAAAAGCTAAGGGTAAGTGCTGGCTTAAAGAAGCTTTGAACGCTAAGCTATGAAACACCCTGTTTGATTCTTCCTGAGTTCAAGGAAATAGGATGTTGCATATTCACTCCGAATAAGTGGCAATGCATCAAAGAAGTAACCACTCATCAATTTCTTATCATGGGAAAAACCTGCAGAATTCTGATTTTGGTATAATGCTGGAATTAAAAAAGGAAACAACAGTATGGTTAGGGTAAGCTATTACGAAGATACCTAAAAGTGTCAAATTGCCAAAATGAGGAAAACAGAATTAGTTTGGTCTAAGGGCACAAACAGGATTTATAACGAACTAACAAGATTTATTCTGAAATCTATTATTCTTTGTCTGAGATATGTAGGAGAAAATAAGATGATTCAATAATTTCCTTTTGTTGTAGAGGAGCTAATGCTCACACCTGCAAGAAATCAAGCAAAAGAACTTCAGTATTCACTTTAAGAGGTGAAGGGAAAATATTTGTAAAGGGGGAAAGAAGTTAACACTGCTAAACAACACAAAATAAAGTTTTTTTTCCACAACCATTATTTGCCATTTTTAGACAGAAGGAGATGAAAGGTTCTCAGATCAACTCAAACTGTACTGGTTGATTAATGTATGGACAGGGATAGGTTGTACAATGTTACTGTGCTTGTAGGCATTTATTCAAGTGGTGGAGTACTTGCATATAATTAATTGCTCCTTCATAAATTAATAGCTAATTAAGAAGGTAATTGAAATGCAAGTCACCTATGATTTTGTGTTATTTTTCATTCAACTATATTTATGTAACTATATTCTAGCTTAGAACTGAAAGTTTCATATGGTATTCTGTTGACTCACACCATCCAACTTCATTCTTGTTTCTTCAGACATTTTGAGAGGAGTTTATGATAATATATTTAAAATTCATAATTTACAAATACGACAGAATTTCACTTATCGGACCTGTTGTTTTTCCTCACAGTGTTAAGTTGCTATGTTTCTTAATAAACAAAGAGTAAACTTCGTGGCACCTACAGATTAAACATGGTAAATGCTGGTCGCTGCTTTCTGCAAAAACAGTACGTGCAGACACAAAAGCTGGGAAGGCTTACAAGCTCATTGTGTTGAATCGCAAACACAAGGAAAAATTTTCTCCACAGCTGGGTCATATTTCACAAAATGAGACCTTAGTATTTTATAACTAAGCATGTTATAATGCTTAGAGCATCTGTATTAAAAAACTTAAAAATTGTTCTTTACCTTGAAGAGAGATAAAGAAAAACACATATAGATGTACTATATGCTACAATTATCAGTAAATCCGTAGCTGCAGACTGTGTATGTGACAGAGAACCGACGCTTTTAAGAATCACACTCATCCCCCCCTCTGAAATAGTGTGTTACTGATCTTATCCATTTTGGATCTCGAAAGTCATTGTTGTTGCCCAAGTATTTACCACGTGGAGGCGGTTGCCTATTTCTTTGCCTGCCCCTCCTGGGCCTGGGAACGATCCCCCTAATTCACCGTTTCAGTGAACGGTCTCCAGCTCAAGAGGTGTGGACACACCAGCAGTGTGTCCTTCCCCCCGACAGAAATGATGGGGTTACTACAGATGTCTAGAGGCCTGAATTGCCAACCTACTTTTTTTTTTAATTTATTTTTTTTTAGTAACTCTGTATTCCAGTCAGGCTGTATCTCCTGGGGCACAGAGAAGCATCAGTTTATAAAAAGACTGCTAATGCTGTAGCTCTTTGTCAGGAATTAAAAACTGAGACTTGAAGCCTGTTGTGTCTCCTGCCGGCCAAGACCAGAGGTATGTACAATTTTAGAACCCATCTCAATTTCTATCGTATGAAAAGTATTGGAGGAACTACCTAATTAACAACAGTCTTTGCCTTCTGTGCCTAAACATTTTAATGAGCCCCCTCTCTACTTTCTGCACTTGAAGCATTTTAAATCTGCCCGTTGAGAACCAGGGACCTTGGTTCTTAACAAGGCTCAGAGGCTCTCCCAGTGGGCATCTCCCCCTACCTGCTGCCATCCTGGGCCTTGCCATTCGCAGTCCGCTAGGCCTCATGACAGAAGGTGCACTTGTGTGCTGGATCACACAGCTGCCATGACACACAAGGTGAGACCTCCGGTGCAAGGCCGTTTGCTTCCTGATGGGCTCCTGCAAACGGGGAACCCTATTGGGAGACCTCGTGTTGTTGCCATGTCCCCCCTTCTCCAGGTTAAGAGGCAGCCAGAGGTAGCCTGCAGGTAAAATACACCTAACATGGCAGCGCCAAAATGGGAAAGCAGCACTGCAAGTAATTGAGAAGCCACACCAGGGAAGTGGCATGAAAGGAATAAACTAAGAGTTTCTTTTGCTTGATGTAAGAAATTTGATATATTTGTCACAGGTGTCAAGCTGCTTCATGGCCCATGAAAAACTATCATGGCCTGAAGAGCAAAAAACAAAAAATCCAGGAGGGGAAAGTTATCTGGCCTGAAGAAGAGATGATCTCCTGAAAAAGTTAATGACCAGTGACATGGAGAGGAACTGACTGAAGCCTGTGAAATGTCTGCAGCCGAATCTGAGCAACAACATTTTTCAAAAATTCAAAGACATTAAAGGGACTGAAAATTGCACTTTTTTTCATCAGGTTTAATTCTCCAGATACACAGCTTTAAGCCTCCACTAGAGATAACACTTAGTCCGTTATGGACTAAGGCTGTTATGAATTAACCATATCACAATCTTCTACATGTCATTTTTGTAATTTCCACCAGAATGTCTCTGGTGTTAGACTACAGAATTTCCATAAGACTGAATTTCTACACTTTCTACCATCTTAAAAAGTAAATACATCTCCATCATCATCCAGGAAATTGTGATTTCTTTGGAAGACATAAGGATATAAGGATGATGAACATGAAAAATTACATTTTTTTAACACTGTGTAACTGTAAGAACCAACTAGACAGAATGACAAAAAGAATGAACAGTATATGTGGTATTTATTAACCATTATTACTGACACATCAAATTTATTACTTGACAACATCTCTAATAAGCTTAAGCCCTAGATATGTATTCAAGCTACAGTCAAAAGATTCTTTGAAAGAAAATATTTATCTAGAGAAAAGTTTTTGGATTAGTCTATCAGTCTCAACTAGATTTTTATTGAAAAGATTTTTCAGAGCTGAAATGGAACTTTCTGATCTGCTCTGCCTGACTCAGAGCAGATTTAAACCAGATTTAAGTAGAAAATTAAACTATAAAAATTTGGATATTTGGAAGCAGAACTTGATTGATTTCTCTTGTTTGAGCTCTTTCACTTTGAATAAAGAATCAAATACTTGTGGCTGGAATGAGAGAGACTTGTCAGTCTCTAGTTTTGCAGACAGGGCACTCACATGGCAGACCCAGGTTCAAGACCTTGCTCTGAATGAAGGAAAGGAGCAATTTGAGCTCAAGTCTTCCACATGAGGGTCAGCACCTTAGCCACTGGCTATTTTTGTGATTCGGAAGGGCAAGGCTCTGGTTTTTTGCATGATAGATGAAATTGTTTGATTTCATCCCTATGTTGAATAGAATGAACTGTTAAAAACAGTATTGAACACAGCTCTGATTAAAATCTCAAATACTATATTATCACTTGCATACGTTAAGAATTCTATATTTTGGATCACGCTTTTTTATCTTCTTATTTTTTAACAGGGGTATCTGTAGAATTGAGCTGCACTTTGGTTATGTTCAGCTTTGAACATGTTACATTTAAGTACAATATAAGTTTGACTTTAAGCAGAGTTTGACTGTGCATAGCTGGCACTAACTACTGTTTTGTTGTAGGAGAGTTAAGATTTACCAGTGGATCTTACTAGTTCTTTACTTGCACAGAAAAATTTATCAACTGAAAAAAGCTTTAGACAGTGACTCAAGTGACCTGGTTCTGCTGGTTATTATCATACTGACTTACTCTATAATGCTAGACAAGTCGTTTTGACTCTCTCTTCTTTGTTTCAGGCTTCCTCTGTTGACATCTATATAGAAATCTCTACACTGGAACACTTAGATTCTAATCCCGGTAGGAGCCTCAAAACCTACTGATATACTAACAGTAAGATTGCATTATAATCAACAAATACTCATTACAATTTATTTAAAATATGGTAAAATATTATGTTTGCAGCCTATAAAGGAATTTGACCTGTGAATCTTTAGCAAAGAGGACTTGTCAAGAACCAGTAGAAGAAAAGGCTAACAGAGAAAATATATTTCATGAATACTGGCTCCTAATAGATTCGCATTTCAGTTATACAATGACTGCTTTTCTTAAACTTTGAAAGTAACATTTAAAACCCACACATTTTACATTTGCAGCTTACCTGTGAGAAACAGCTCCCCAGGCACCATGCTTATTTGTTAGTATGTTGAGTATCTTCTGTTTCAGCTGATTGGCTGTAACGTGATCCCGATGCTTAGCAGCACTGATAAGATGATCACACATCTTCTCCTCCTCTCGTCTGTCAGCGGCATACTGAGCACACTGTGACTAGGAATGAAAGTAGATCTACTTCATAAAAGATAGGCTATTTGGAATTGCCTTAAAATGATTATTTACTAAAACTCTTTAAATATGACAAGAACTCTTTAAAATACTTTTAAGAGGGATAGGACACACAATGCAATTGAAATCAATCTACTACTATATATTATCCATGAAAAAGCACTCCGTTAGAACATGTAAAAATGGAAATATCAAGTGCAAAGACAACAGAATTGCAATCAAAAATATTAAGCTACACATCTCTGTGTGTATATATGTGACCACGGATATGCCTTAAAAGTTGGTCTTTATTTGAAAAAGTTTCATGTGTTCTCAGATATAAAATACAGGTATAACACACACAACATAATATATAGCAAAAATTACGTACACTGGTTTTGATTTTTAAATTGCAATAAAGCCTAAAATTAAAGAAACATTTGATAATTTTATTATTATGGATGCCAAAGACAAACTCCTTTATCTATGAAATTAAGAACTATATTTTTATTTCATATCACAACATGAAAAATTTTCATAATGTACTACCAGTTTTAAAAACCCCTAATGGTTAAAAAATCACTCATCTTTTAAACTGAAAAAGATCTAATGTTTTCATCATGTTTCCTTTAAGAGATACCTATAAAATAAATGCTGTGGTTATTGACCCTCATGCAAATTTGTTTCTAAAACTGTCAAAACTTTATAGTGTATTTTAGTTTTGATAAATCTTTTCTTCATGTATAATAAGCACAGTATATTTCCACGTCTTTTCTCAAAATCGTGTTAAGTTCAAACTAAATTTCTCTTCCTAGTAAAGATCCTTCTAAAATGTCTAAACAATGCAAATGTAACCATACTAATTTCCAAAGGTTAGATTATTGTCAAAACAGCTCATTTTAAAATCACCTTTTGAGTCATTTTGCAGCACAAATTTTAGAACATTTAACCAACACTAAATGCAATAGCACAATGCTGAATAGAATCCTATTTTCTAATATTCAAAAAATGAATTGTTGCTCCCATACTAAATCGTAGTTTCTTCTTTGTATTTCTGCACACTACCTTTCTACGACAGATCACATTAGCTTTCGGTAAGATTTTAACAGTGGTCTTTCCACTGTGTTACAGCATTATTTCAAGTAATCTATCTGGAAAAGAACAATGGTTACACAAATTCATAAAGGGTTAATTCATTTTTCAATTTATCTTCTTGTACAGGGAAGCACCAATTAGTACAATGATCTGCCTTAGTAATGAGGTTAATATTTCACAAGCTCATTGGACAGTAAAATTAAATTTTCATTTTTCTTCCTGAACAATTACAAAGGTTAACAAAATGAAAGTTATCTGTGAAGCACCCGTTCTGGGAGGAATTTCCCTGGCCTTGACTGCAACTGGACTCACAGGGTAAAATTTAGATGCTGGTCCATGGCCTCCCCACTATGCAGGTGACACAATAACTTGGTGCAGCTTGGACCAAATAATTTCACCCATAATGACTGAATTAAAGTTTAAAAGGTAAAAATAAAATAGCCACTCACTTCTCTGGCTGAGAGCAATGATTAACATGTACTAAAACCCAGAACATATACCCATACAGTTTATTAAAACAAAATGACAGATTTACAATTATGCAACAGAAAACTACCAGAAATCTCTTTGTCCCTACTACTTTCAAGTAAGATGAATAATAAAATGTTCAGTTATATACTTACCATTATTAAAGACAATATATAAAACATTCTTTCAGACTTTAACCATCACCTGATTTAAGTACATCTGAGTTTCATATTTAACACAGGCTACATTTCATAATTTTCATTTATGACTTGCAGATTTTATCTTACTCATCTAAAACATGTAGCTGAGGTTTTTCATCTGACAAACATAATGAAAATTTTCATATATGAAAAATGTGTTGGTTTCTTTACCAGACAATAAGACTGACTTAAGGCTATTCCTTTAGGGAATTTAGTTAATATTCTAAATCCTATTTGCTAACAGAAGCTGGAAGTTAATTGAATATTCTCATTTTGTCTAGAGTTCTGACAGATCTTATACTTCAATGTATTCTTCAAAGAGCAGATAACTCAATCTTCTGTTGTCATCTTAGGTTACTGCATGATGCTCTGATAAATATCAAATGTTATTTATTGTTGAGGCAATATGAAACTTCACTCTGACATACACTTAATTGTAAATGTGATTTTATCTAAGTTCAGAATATCAGCTATATGCTTGGTAATAAAGTTGTTGCAATCCCATATGACAAGTGTCTGCTGCCTGCTCTGACAAAATGAAGTAAAGGTTATGTGTATTCAAAATGACAACAGATATCTCTGTGTCTCACACTTTTCAGCTAGGTCAAGGAGCACAAGAACCAGTACATCAAAGTGCATATTTAAGAGACCTGTTTCAAGGAGATAAAAACCTAATCAAAACTAAGATTACTGGATCCTATTTCTAGCCACCAGGTGCTCGTTGACATTCTCTGACAGATGAATAAACTGATATAGCTATTTATTATCATCAGTACTAAGTCAGTCTATCTTAATCCTAATGTTAGGTCACTTGAGCATTAAAACATGTGGAAATGTATGTTTGTGTATATATACTTACACATACACAAATGTATGCAAGCACAGACAGATTTGGAAATAATAAACAATAGTGATGTTGAAATGTATAAAACACCATAAAAATACAAAACCATATTTGATAAACCCATGTAAAAGGTGAATTTTAAACTTTAATCCATCACTTTTGCATGAAATTGTTTTGAATAGGAACAAAATTAATCATGAAGAAATAATCAAAAACCTGTTAAAGTAAACACATTTTAAAAAGAGCTTTTTTGTATATTTGCATCATTTTCAAGCAATGTAATTTAAATTGCATACTGCAACACTCATTGATGAAAAAAGTGATTGAATGTTGACTCTCTTTAAGAGTGAGAATTATAGACATTAAAGAGTTATGGGATCCAGCTGCTGTGTTACTTCTTCCATACTTAAAAAGAATGGACATTTTAAACACAGTCTTATTGTCAATAGCTAATGATTCCTAACTATCAGGTAAGATATGTAATATAATATTTCAATATATGAATTATAGCAAGTAAAATAACAAAAAGTCAAACAAAATTACCTTAAACTACTAATTCTGTTTAACAAAACATTTCTATTTCTTATTTTTCATGAACTGCCCTAAGTGCATTAATTGTTTTTCTTTCTTACTGAACTCATGCATACTGTAGATAAAATCTAACAAAAATAATTACTAATGTGATTTGTATTACTATTTGCAATAAATCAGAAAAGTTCTTTGTGAAGCTAAAGGTTCTGCCATATCAGTTTAGAAATTCTGATTAAGGGATTTCTTCAAGCTGTAAATGTTTTCGTGAATTTCAGTGAGGAGATTAAAAATTAAACCCGTTCTTTTGTGTTTGACATTTACCAAAGCTTTTAAAAACTAGTTTTGAAATGCCTTCAATATAAATTTCTTTCATGGAAGAAAAAAATCTTTATTGTATGGGGTTACAGTCTAGGTGACAACTGAGTGAAAACAGAGAAGCAGAAATGCACCAACTCTCAGGCTTACCTCAAACTCAGCATGCTTGTGCACATCTTCAGCTCTTTGTCGGTTCAAAATAAATTCTGCTTCATTTGCGACACGCACTATATGGTCTTTCATTGCATGACATAATAATCTAAAATAAAAAAAATCAAAATCAACCTTTGAACCTGTTGTACTTCAAATAAGCTATTTCAGCAGATTTACTTAAAATGGAAAAAAATAATTAATGAAGTACTGTAATGCAATTACCAAATTAGTTGACATGAAAAATTTAATTTTATAAAAAATTTTCTGCATTTGTGAAAGCACAAACAAATCATATTATATGGAAAAAGCTTGCTATTCATTATTGAAGGGAGAAGTTCTTTATGTAAGTATTATATTTCTAGTATGTTTTTAACAGCAGTCTCAATATGAACATGAATACTATACTACCATTTAAAAAAACCTAGACAATAGCTTAAACTCTTACTGATACCATTATATCATCAAATATAAATATTCCAATTTAAAAATCATTAAAAATAATGATATTAGAAAAGATTTAAAAATCTATTCTATTGCAAAATAATATAAATATCTCTGATAGGTTTTTCAAACACTGGAGTGAAAAGTGCATCATGTTTCCAAGTTTTCATGGCATCAGAACTAGAAACCTAATAAATCTTACTTAAAAAGAAGGAAAAAAGATTGGACTGAAACTGAGGATGGTAATCAGACACCTTAAATTAAGACTTTTGAAAAAAACACCAAATACCATGAGATGCATCATAAAATTGCAGCATAAACAACAGTGTGTTGTTAATAATGCTTGTATCTTATTGGGCAGGAAGAATGGAAGCAACTGCTTTCTCATCCCTACAGTCCATATCTAAGGTTGCCTGTTCTATTCAAAACTGCTTTGCTCTTCTTATCAGCAGGGAGGAAATATCTTTCAGGATGCAAAGATCTGACAGGTCTGTTTAGAATCAGGAAGAACTGTTTCTCTTTGTGTCAATTTTGCACACGGTCTGGGATTTTCCTTCTTGCAGCATCAGGGAAACACACTTTTCAGAGATTCTTCTATTAAGAATGTGGCATTTCTAGCAAATTCTACCCCAAGGTGGGTGTCTGGTGCTTAGAAGCACAAATCTCACAAATGAAAGCCATGATTATAAGAAATTAAAGCCAAGATTACTAGACCTTACATCTATAAGATGGTAAGATCTGATCTCTATTCTTGTCACCTTTGGTGTGTTCTACCATCTGTGAAGCAGGGAAATCACTTACCCTGAGCTAATGTTTAATAAGAGTGTGTGGCATGCAACGATATAAACGCTGGGGCCTCTGTTTAGAGATAAACAAGCTTGGATCGAGGTTTCACAGTGGATATTCATGCTTTTAATGAGCCTTTTTATTAAAGCTATTCTTGAAAGCAAAAAGTTTTTGTCAAACCAGAAGCTGAAAGACTAAAGTTGCTTCCATTTTAGTCTTCAAAATTTAGCTTTATTTTTTAATCTACCCTGCTGGAAGACATGCTTTAGTATTTTATTACTGTTAAGTGTTCAGATTTTTATTGTTAAGAGGTGAATGTAGAACTGCCCTCAGATATGGATTAGGAGTGAGCATTCATGACTAACAAGCTTCTCTGAAATGAGAAAATACTAGAAGTGAGTGTTTAACATCTCCAATCAAATTTTGCATCACAGGTCTTCCTGAACTTTTCCATATGACATTAATGACCTGGAACCAACTAGCTAGGATTTCGAAACTGAACAGACAGATTTTAAGTGTCTACTAGCTGTACATCCCTTCCTGAATGAATAAACTATAGAATAAATGTAGCACAGTGCAAATTCAGTATCTTTGAGTCAGCTTTGGTCCAGGCAGGATTTCTAGTTCCAAATGGATTTAGGTAAAATCAATAGGTTTCTTAGACACTCCCTGACACCATTAATTTTGTGAGAAAAGACAGAAACTAACCTTGACCACTGGGTTTATTATTTGGGACACCTGGGCATAGTTTTTATACCTCAAAAAACAATCTAAGCTTTGTCTCTTCATGAACAATGATAAATACAAACCATCTTCATCTTAGTCATATTTATTTGTATTAAGAAGCTTTCACATTGTCTATGCCCATTTATGCACTAAAGCACCTACAAGGGACTTCAAATGAATCCCCAGAGAATGCTAATTTTCACAAGTTATAAATAAATCTGTTGCCAATACTCAGGGAAAAGATATAAAAATAAATAAATAAATAAAATCTGTCGACACTAGTCTCTGGCTGTTTTACAGAAAATGAAAACTTTTATAGACATGCAGCAGATGATTCAAATCAGCTGGCTGAAACTGCTGGTGAACCCAGCTGTACCTCCCACCCCTCTAATGGACCTTTCTGCTCCAGAGACTGAGAGACCTGATGCATTTGGGATCAACTTCAAAGTTGCTGCAGCTTTTGGACAGCACACCAGGCAAACTAAGCCAGATTTCAGGTAACCTCAAAATGCCACAGGTCTTCAGGGTCCAAAGTCAAGGAGATGACAAACAAGAGGGGACCAGAGAACATGCCTTAGCACTGGGTCCTCACTGCGCACAGCACTCAAATCATTAGCTTGGCCTCCACTCATTTTTTGGCTCACTCTAACTTCCATCCAGAAAATGTATGAGCATGGTCCAAGGGACAGCTCACTGGAGACACATCGATGAGACTGTATCAACTTAAACTCTTTGCAATGCCACCCAAGAAATTTCTGCAGGTGTTTTCATGTCATATCCCAGCACACATAGAACATCATTCTAGTGGGTAGCCCTCATGTTATTCCAAACAATGTGAACTACACAGACAAAATAGTAATGATGTCTTAAGGTGAAACAGGAGCCATACAGGCTTCAGGGAAGAGCTGGGCTAAGTGCTATGTAGAATGAATGAAGACACTCTGCTCTAGCAGGTGCTAACCTTAAGCAGTATGAACATAGGCCAGTCCAGGCTATTTGGTTTTATTTAAAACTACAGACAAAGCTGCTCTCTTCCTTTTGGTTTGTTGTAAAAACTCTTATCTATGGAATATCTCAGTATTATTTCAACTGTGTCTAGCCAATTGTTTCATGCACTCTCATATCTCTATCACTAATGGTGATTTCTTCAAGACAAAGAAGAAAAAGGGTTTGTATGGTGGTCAGCACATGGGGATTATGCCAAAAGTGAGGCCACAACCTAACAACACTATATAATCATTAAATAATATTACAACAATGTGTGCTAATAAGGGACATACTGTGATTCGCCCCTTACATGCTTGTATGCACCTAAGATAGAACTTCAAACACTAGGTAAACTATGCTTTTGCATGTAGAAGACCATGAAGAATTATACTAGTCTTAAAATCTCTTGCCAGAAAGACAGACTTTTGAAAAAGAGAAGTGTTAAAAATCTAGGCCAGCATTTAGAAATCTTGTATGCCTCCAAAAGAGGCCTTGGCCTGGATGTTTTGATTTGTAAGTGCAAAAATGTAGGGCAGAAAAGAGAAGCATAGTAAGTTAAAGCAGTTAAATGTGTCATCTTAGCTTTGAAAGGAAAAGCAGCTACTACAAGGTCAGGGAAGCAACACCTTATAGAGTTTTTTGCAAAGGAACTTGGTTATGGGCTTGCTGTACTTGTTCAAGGAAACTTGTTTCTTTTTGGAATTTAAAAATACTACTTAAAAATAATTGTTTGGTCCTGATTTTTATTTCTAATGGGAAGTTATTCTGTGTTCTCAAGCTATATTTCTTCTAAGCAAAAGATGGCAAAAGTGTTTTTACTGTTATAGCTGGATTAAATCATAGCCAGCTAACTGTGATTGAATCTCAAATTCATATAGAGACATCACAACTCAGATGGTAATGTCATCATCCTTTGAATACCTTCCAATTTACCTAAAACCTTACTAACTCAATCACATGCATGGCATAAGACAGGAGGGAAAAAAAAAAAGAAACCTCAGTCTTTTGGATTCTCATAACAACTCAGCATACTGTCCTAACTGTGTTACACTTGATAAACATGCATGGTAATGTCATCATCCTTTGAATACTTTCCAATTTACCTAAAACCTTACTAACTCAATCACATGCATGGCATAAGACAGGAGGGAAAAAAAAAAAGAAACCTCAGTCTTTTGGATTCTCATAGAGAAAACAATAGAAATTATTCAGAAAGGATCCCAAACCAGGACAGTTCTCACACTTAGCAGTAACAAAGGCTGCCAATACATCAAAAAAACCTCCCATCATGCACTGCAAATAAAAGAAAGGAACAGGGACCTCTATGTCAGCAAATTCACTCATTCACTGCAACACGCAACTATATCATACAACCTCTTTCATAAACTATCTTTAGTTTATGAAAGGCATTTACATGAAATCTAGCTCATGAACTGTGTCTTCAGTTTATGAAAATACGATTGAGTTGCTTGCTTCCAGCACAGCTTTGGAAGGTCCTCTGAAGGTTAAAATCCTTTTTCTTTCTGATCCTAATGTATTCTTCAGCGGTCTTTACCATTCCATTTTATGCAAATATTGCCCTTAGGTTTACACAATTCTTCTTCCTTCTGTTGACCTTCTGATATTCCATATATCCCTATTTTACTAGTTTACTAAGTAAATCAGGTCTCTCACTTTTCTTGTAAGGCAAAACAGTTAGTAAAAGAGATTGCCTTTTGGGTTTTTACTAATTTCATACACTGATTTTACGTTTTCTGCAAGTGCATAGCCAAAACTGTCAGCAGTATTCCAGGCAAGTTCTAGTCACTATTTACATGGTAACATTAATGCTGCCTTATTTCAGTGGAAATACCTTTTCCAATGCAATTCTAGAATTGTGTTTTCCTTTTTCTCAGCCCTATATTCTACGAATTTGCACAAGAAAATTTCAGTGATAGATTGGTCTTTTATCTCCTCGGACATTTCCAAAATATGAGCCAACAGTCTCTAGCATATATTCTCAAGAACGTGGACTCCAAGTACTATTATGTTATAAAATATTTCTGTAACATATTACATCGTATAATATTTATATTATTGCAAGTTTGAAACCATCTGCCAAACTATGCTTCCCATCTGCCAAACTATGCTTCCCATCCACAGATTTTTACAGAGCACTCCTTTTTG